GGGTTAGCGTTAGATTTAGCGTTAGGTTAAGCATTAGGGTTAGGGTTAGGGTTAGGTTAAGGGTTAGCGTTAGATTTAGCGTTAGGTTAAGCATTAGGGTTAGGGTTAGGGTTAGGTTTGGGGGGGTTAGGGTAAGGTTTTCGCTTTAATTTTAAATTTACCGCTCACAGCGCGATGTTTTCGTCGCACTGTGATGACGTCACGTACGCACTTTTGTCGAGCGCGCAATTGTCTACTGCGGTTTTGTGGTGGAACCCATTTCACCCACCTCGGAAGGATGGAAGGCTGAGTCAACTCTGAGCCGGTGAGATTAGAACAGCCGAACTGCAGATAGCAGTCAGCTGAAGTGGCCTGCAGTACTGCACCCTAAGCACTGCGCCACCTTGGCACCATTAGATGTTGTATTTATGCACTGATCCTGTGAAGTGTTCCCTTGAGCCACCAATACCATTAAGGGGGACTAACATTTAGGTCAGAGACAGCAAAGTATCACATCCTTTGGATGGAGATTAGGTCTCCCCTTGAATGGCAATGAGTCTTCTAAACTCTTGGGGATGGTCTGGCTCCATAAGAGAAGGAAGTAAAAGAGGAAGCTGAGTGTCCACCTTCTAAAATTCAGAAAAGGCAGTAACAGGTTTGAACTAAAGCTTCGAAGTTTGATCATAAATTATTTAACGTCTCCGTTTTAATACCAACGGGTGCTGATTTTGCTATTATTTCCACAGCGTGGGATTTTGGAGACATGCGGCTCTTGATTTCAAAAGATGATTATCAAGATAAAGAGAATTATTTTCATGAGATTCCCCCCCCCCCCTCAACTCTGAATGGCAAACTGAACCGGCCTCGTGAAAATAGCTTGAAACCCTCCACATTGAATGAAAAAGGCTTGACAAGCATTATTAAAAGGAATGTAAAATTGAAGATTTAAAGATAAAATATATTTATAAATGTGAGCTTTCATAGCACCTATGAAGGGGGAAAAAAGAAAAGCATCTTTTGATAGAATACTTCAAAAAGACATACTTAAAACAAGAGGCTTTTTGCAAGTGTGTGTAAGTGTAAAATTCCTTAGAACTGCAGAACCAACCAAACAGGATAATAAACCTGTTTGGAAAGAGCTCTTAGGAAAGATTCCCTACGAAATTGCTCAGCATCAAAATATCCAAAGATATTTTTGTTATCTATGAAAGCCATAAACACATCTGCATATAGTAGTTTGTATCCTTAGAAAAAGAATCTCATGGGATGAAGAAACATTTTGGATAAAGGGGTAAAACAGCTCACTGGAATTTCAAAGATTCTGGGCCAGTTAAGATACAAGCTCAAATACAGGATGGGAAATAATGCCATGAGCAATAATTTACTACCTCTGCTAAAACAACCCCTTTCACTTAAAACTTCCAACAGCCTTTTTCTTTCTCAGTGTGAACACTAGTTAATGATTAAAATCAGTTGTGGCTGGCAATTGACAAACCAGCCATCTCCTCTCGTTTCTTTGCAGAGGGTTTCACATTTAACAGCCGCCTACTGTGTTCTGCCATGTAGGAAGTCAATATATCTTTGAAAATCTTTATGCTTATTTGATTTCTTGTTTTGTGGCTTGTTTCTAAAAAGGCATTGCAGTATTTAAGGAAATTGTGCAATCACCCAGCACTAGTTTTAACTGCTCATCACCCAGAACATAAAAGGATCACGGAGAAGCTTGCAGCGGAGAATTCTTCTCTCCGGGACATCCAGCATGCGCCTAAACTCTCTGCTTTAAAACAGGTGGACAAATCTTTGATTGTGCATTTGATTTGTTAGACAATAACTCTTCCACATATATTGGATTTATTATGTTTATTACATTTATATTGGATTTATTACATTTATATGCCCCCCTTTTCCCCGAAGGGGACTCAATATTCAATATATTCAGAAAGACACTTCTGCTAGCTTCTAGAACAGGCGCATCAAACTTGCGTTGTCACGTGACGCATCGTGACCTTTCCCCCCGCCCCTTCGCTAAACCGGGCACGGCCAGCGGGTGACACATCCGGGCCCTTGGACCAGGAGTTTGACAGCCCTGTTCTAGAACCTTCACCGTGCATTAATTAATTGGTGGTTAAAAAAGTATATCTAGAAATGTTAAGAAGATGAAACCGTGGAGAAGGCAACATGAAGCATATAAAGTACATTTTTGTATGTGTATTACATTATTATTACATAATTATTATTATATAATATAATTATATTATTATTACATTAGTACTACATTAGTATTATTACATTAGTATTACATTATGTGTAACTAACAGAAAACTTTGTTGCCATCTTAAGTTTAAAGGTTCTTTTTTTAAATGAGTCAAACTCCTTTGGCTACCAGGAGATTAAGAGAGTCATTCCAGTTTTGCCATAACTTTGTAGTAAATGTTTAGTTATTTAAAAATAGCAGCTAGGTTTCAGTTATTGGTGTTCACCAAATTTGAAGTGGTAATTTATTATTTGGTATAATTCTCAGCTAGTATTTAGTATCAAAAAAATGCCAGAATTTGAGCCTGCTGTATAAGATTCAGTGCAACTCTATTTCACAATTTGGTGTACTAGAACATAAAGATGTCACTTTTTATTTTTTTCATTTAGTCCAGTATTATTATTATTGTTTAGTTTCAGATTTCTTTTTATCCCACCTTTATTATTTTTATAAACTAAGGCAATGAACATACTTAATACTGCTCCTTCCTCTTATTTTTTGCCCCCCTACATCTAACAACTCTGTGAGGTGGGTTGGGCTGAGAGGGACAGACTGGCCCAAGGACACACAGCTGGATTTCATTTAAACTGTGTCTCTGGAACCTCCGAAGCTGAGATTTTTTTCAAATTTCCTGGTCCTTAAATAGCAAGAATGTGAAGGGGAAGAAATGCTCTCATTAAGTTACTATTCCATAAGTCACAATGTAACTTCAAATGCATTGTAATAGTTCAGATCTTGGACTGAGGCCAAGTGCCAAATGTGTGACGTCGAGTCCATTTCCCTGTAAGCCAGGGGTGTCAAACTCAAAGCCCTTAGGCCGGATCTCGCCTGCAGGTTGCTTAGATCTGGCCCACAGGGCCACCCAGGAAGATCGGTCCACAGGGCCTTTGCCAGCAAAAAAAACAGCCCGGAAGGGCCGCGTTTGGGCTGCTGTGGCCCTCAATGAAATTGAGTTTGACACCGTTGCTGTAATCCAAACCAACCACAAAATGAGATAGAAATACAATAATCAGTATGTGAAAGTTTCTTGGGTGCTCTTGTGGGGAAAAGGCCTCGAGAAGCTGGCTGAACTGATGGTTTCTTTCTTGTTGGTCTTCAAGCTATTACTCGACTGTGGCTTAGGAAATGGCGGCTCTTCAGAGAGCGGCACCGAAACGATAGTTGCCCAACACCGAATTCTCATCTTCTGCCAACTGAAGAGCATGCTGGACATAGTAGAACATGACCTTCTGAAGCCTCACTTGCCCTCTGTGACCTACCTGCGGTTAGATGGCAGCATACCGGCTGGTCAGAGACACTCAATCGTCTCACGGTAAAGCCAACATTGTTTGTTTCGATCTATTCAAAGCCGCGTTCCCCCAGCCCTCTTTTTGGCTGACATAGATGTGGTTTTGCTGTTAACCTTAAAGTGTTCACCTCACCTGGCCCCTGTATGTGAGTTCCCCTTGCCCATCAGCATATGTTCCATATGCCCCCTGGTATCTAATTGGGAAATCTTTGAGAATTGGGAAATCTTTCCTCCCCACTATCTAATGTAAAGGTATATATAAATGGGGCCATTCACGTGGAATGTAGATAAGACAAGTCTATGCTCGGTACGACCCTGAATCTCAGGGAATCTCAGGGACATCCAGATCAGTGGTGGGTTGCTCATCCCGTTCCAACCGGTACAGTTGGGACGGGGCTGGCGGCGTCCTCGTGCACGCGTGCAGTTCACGCATGCGTCTTAGCACCTGCGTGCTGCTCCAGCTGCTCGCGGAGAATCGCGCAGGTGCTGTATGTGCCATGCGCCTGCGTGGAAGCGCAGAAGCCTTCAAAGACCGGTAAGGAGCGCGGGCGGGCGGATGGGCCCTTCAGTGTTCCTGGAAGTTACTTACTTCCGGGTTCACCGACCAACCATCGGCGCGGACTGCCACGGACCGGTTGAAACTCACCCCTGATCAGGCCAGATTAAATTCTGTAGGGGGTAATGGTACCACGGTGGTGGTAGAACACTTTGCATGGTCAAAGCCCCAGTTTTGATCCTCCCATTAAAAGGACCGGGTGACAAGGGATGAGATATAGCTCCATAGCTTGAGTCTGAACAGACAGCAATGAGATAAATGAATGGATGATCTGACCTGCAGTAGACAAGCTACTTTTAGGCCTTCATGATCTCTGCTATGGACCTTGGAGAGTTTTTCAGGTGAT